AGTGAAAATGAGTTGTCATAAGCAGAACTGCATGATTTTAAAATTTGATATAAAGGTACTATTTGGGTTGGTTTAAAGCAGTTTTAAAATTCTAATAAGATTTTCCAAATGCTTTTGCACAAATAAAATGACATATCAGAAATTTTGAAAGAAACTATCACATGGGTTTTTTTTTCAGAAAATATCTCAAATAAAATTCAATGTTAGACAGATCTGGAGGCAAGATTCAGGAAAAAATACTAAATATTTATTGACCAAAGAAAGAATTGTTGGTTTTAGTATCAGTGAGATTTCTCATGTTGTTTTGAGTTTTTCCTCAGAACATTTCAGGGTGGTTAATGGACATTGCTCCATCAGAAACATATGAATTTCAAGTAATTTTATTTAGATAATTTTAGACAAAAATATTTCCAATTAACTTTGCTTTCATTAAGTGATGTATTTTGTGGAAGGTGTGGTTGTATTTGGGGGGAAAAGTGGTTATTTGATCGTCTTTCTTCAAGGGGGTGTAGAGCAGCTGAAGTTGGGGAGTGAACAAGTGGCTGTGTGGTTCTGAGTTATCAGCTGGTCTTAAACCACGACAGTTGGAAATACTGGTTCTATTAGCTTGGAAGGATGGTAGAGGACATTAAATTTATTTTTGTATCTCTTCATGTTCATGGTCAAGTTTGATTGATTCCCAAGCCTTCCTGCTGTTTTCTGTCTGCCTTCTCAATGTTTGTCTGTAGTATTTTAGACCAATTCCATTCTCTGTATCTCACTCCCATGCTAACACTTAAGGAAGCATTTCTGTATGGCTTAGTCTCTGTCTTCTGTTTAGATTGAAACTTAGTGTTTATTATTATCCATAAATGAAATGGTTTTTACCCATATCTTGAATGGAGGGTGGTATTTATAATACCTCTGTTTCTCACTTATCAATGCCTTAATTAACTCCACAGCTTACCACTGTTATCTCTGTTTTGCACACTAGTGTTAAAGAGTTTGAGTGTTTCCATAATATAGCTATTTAACTTTCCTTAATTATTACCTAATGCATGTGCTACCTGTCATTATATGATACTATTAGTAATAATAATATTTCTTTCTGGGCAGGGAATTATTGTTATTACTGCAACACTTTTTAGTATGATCTTTGTGCTGTGGCTTGTAGTGGAAAGAAGTAATAATAGTGCTGGAAGGGGCCAAAATACTGGGTTCTTGGAGGTATGCCAAGGAAAATAAATGCACGGTTACCTTTCTCTGCCAGGTGATCTTGTTGGTGCCGACTGAGACAAAGGAATTATTCCAATCAAGTTCCTTTCAGTTGAGATATTTGTGCTGGCAGAGAAACAGTCTCAAATGCATATTTATCCCCAAAACTAGTATCCTGACGTTTTGCTTTTCTGTTTATTTTTAGTGGGCTTTACAAGTGAGATACATTGAAAAAATAGAAGCCAATCTGTCTTGTGCAGCCTCTATCATTCACATACAGACTTGAACACTTGTTTTCAAATTTGGCTTGTTGCAAATCTGTCCAAGCCTCTTCTGATAGGGTGATAATACCACTTTTGGAAGTGGTTTTGCTTAACACTGAAAGTTGCATTGCTAAGTGACTCTGTCATCAATTTATTCTTTTTTCCATCTAACAAAATTCTGCTGGGAGAAACATGAAAGAAATCAGGTATCAGGCATGCTTCCTGGGCAAGAGAAGGAAATTCACTTAACAGTTTACTTGCTTTCTTTAAAATATTCCTATCCACTCTTCTAGGATGGAAGAAATGACATCAGTAATTTCCTTCATCTTTCTTACTTCTCATGGATGAAGAACTTATTCTAGTTGTGTGAATGTCTTTCATGAGGTGTAATTCAGCTCAACTTTCAGCAGTTCTCACATTTCTCAGTCTCAGGTGATATACATCTAGGAATTTAAAGATATTTTTATGGGCACATGTTTCAGTATTCACCTCTAAAGTAAGATTGCAGAAATCCTTGATCCATATATACATTTAATCCTCAGGGCTTATTAGTGGTTCATCAAATTGTCTCAGGAGAACTTTTTAACATCCTTTCCTATGAGCATTTCAATGTCTAATCTTCTCCTGAAGCCTCATTCACCTAAGTCTTATTCAGCTAGGTTTTAACATTACAGTGATTCAGAAGTGTCTCCAAATCGCTTCTCCACTCTTTCATTTTTCACTTTTAAGTTATCCATACCACGCCTAAGTATTCCAGAAACCTGCATGGTGTCAATCCTTCAAGAAAAAAATAATTTCCTGATTGCATATCTATGACTGGTAGTCAAATCTTTCTTATCATAACTAATCCTTGTTGCTTGTTTTCAATTTTTCTTGCTATGCATTTACATTCCTCTCTTTGGAATGGGATGAATTCCAGAGATATAACTTAAACCTTCTTTTCTTTGATCATTCTAGCTTAGTGTAGACAGCCTTGACCGACTCCATTGTAAGTTCTTGTCCAGAAGCCAAGAACAGTCAGTAGCGTCTCCCTTGCTATTTTCAAAATCCTCTAATTTCTAATCATATTTGTCAGTTCCTTTTTCTCTACATCAGCTCCTGTGGCATGATATTCATTTTCATTAATAAGAGCCTCTTCCTGGTACAAGTTCCAGTTTTCTCTGTTCAAGCTACCAAAAGCTCCTTGACTGTCCATTCCTCTCTTTATTGGACTAAATGTGCCAACTTATCTTGTTCTCCCTCCAGTTCTTTTTCTTCTTCTCTGAAGCAGATCTGTTCTTCAGCTCAGCTTTCTCTCTTCTCCTGTGGAGAGAAAACTGTGGAGGCTGCACAGGCACATGTTTCCAGGTTCACTTTCTTGTACTGGAGTTTGCTGTTTAGTTCTGTTATGCACTGCATTTGTTGAACATCACTATGCCTGAAAGTCAAGAGATCTCTAACTCTAGCATATTGCCAAGTGTTGCATATTCCCTCTCTTGCACATCGTCATATCCTGAAGTCAAGCCTATCACCACCTTTGGTTATGCCACTTTCTTTATTTGACTCCTTTTCATGAGTTTCAGCTGATGACTCTTCAGCCAAAACCAGCTTCCACCTTGTGTATTGCTGGCAGGCATGGGAAGGGGAAGAAATTTTATCAGCTGAGGTTTTATTAAAGTAATTTACCAGACTTGGGCTTTTCTGACAGTCTTTTCTTTTTTTCCTTGATGTCAAGCTCATGAATTCACAATATGTTGTAGGGTCTTGAAGCAACTTGAAGCATTATAGCACAAAAACTTTAGCTTTGATTCTCACTATATGTGTGCAACTATATATTTATTTGGGGAGAGGGGTTAAAGAGAACCCTGGATTGTTATTTTTCCACTCCTTTATGTTCTTTCTTTTTTCCTGCTGCAGAAAAACTAGTATGGGGTTAAGATCTATGCAGTAATAAACCTTTGCCAGGGGCAGGAATCTAGCAGTCACAAACAATTAGCTCTTTCTGTGAATGGTCCAAGGTTAATTTTAGCCTCCTAAACTGTCTCCTGCCAGATCTGATAAGTTTTTCCCTTTAGCTCCAGCTGTCTGGTCCCTGATGGGATTTGGCAACAAGGAGGATGGCATTATCAGCCCATTAACTATCACTAGCAGGAGAAGTGTGATGTTGATGATTATTGATCACCTGTTCTTCAGGGTTATCAGGCGATGTTGACTAAACCTGACGCTTGGTTGTTTCTGTGAGCAGCTCTTATTTTTTTACTGGCTGATGGCATTTCTCTTCCTGGTTCTGCCCATGGACAAGAGAGAAGCGCATCAGGGCATCTCTGCTTTTGCTATCAACAGGTTATGTTTGACTGCAGGAAGGGATTGGAGTAAATGTTTTGCCATTTCAGGGTCAAAGTCTGGATATATCCCATGCAGCTGTCTGTCTCCATTTACAACACAACTTTGTAAATGCTTTTAGTAGTAGAAGTAGTGGAAGCATGGAGAGTCCCAGCAGGTTAGAAATTATTTGGAACAGGCTTTCAGGCACTGGAGGGATCTGTGTGGTACTCTCTAAACTGTGTATGGCCTACACAGACGGGGGGGGGGGCTAGGTATAAAAGATGCAGAAGGTCTACAAGTAAGACCCAGCCCAATGGGACAGCAGTGTGCAGTCCAGCTTCCGCAGACACTTGGAAACAGAGGGTATACTTGATTGTTTTGGTTTTTGGAACAGGCAATTATAAAAAAATCTATAGAACTCCAGTGTTTCCTTCCTAGCCAAAGCAATATTATTCGGGGCTCTGGAGGCTAAACAATGCTTGTTTGTGGTTTTTTTTTTCCTAAAACAAACAGTCTGGAAAGAATAAGTATTATGTTTTCTTCCAAGGCATAGCAACACGAATTCTGGGACTAAGCCCAGGACCAATACATTATTTATTAATGCATAAGATATCCAGTCAGTTATTAAATTGAAAATAGCTAAATCATTTATTTTGCATATTTTGTACCCATCTATTTCGTTACTTTGGCTGTCACAATTAAATCAAGAGACTTTTTGGGAAAAAAAAAAACAAACAAACCAACAACAAAACAGGATCATCATATTAAGACAAACAGACATTGACCAGATATATCCTATGAGTAAGTGGTATCTTGGAATAAAGATGAAAGAAAGAAGTGTGGTTTAGTATAACCTCATGAGAGGGGAAAAAAAAAAAAAAAAAGAAAGAAAGAAAAAAGAAGAGACATTTTGAAATATTTTCACTGTTTTTTTTTTTTTTTTGTTAGTTTTCTCTTGCTCCAGTGCATGGTAGAACAGGAATAGATTTTATGTTTAAAATAACTTTCCCTTTTTAATTCTAAAGCAAATGGCCAATGGATTTTTAAAATCTTAGTAGATCTGTTGTCATTTAATTTCATAGTTTTGGGGGGGGAATTAAAAGAAATTTTAATTTTTTCTTTTTTTTCCATTTGCCTCTTCATATGAAGACTTAACAGTTATTGTCTTAGTGTATAAATATCATTCTTAATCACAGAAAACCAGAGTCAATCAACATTTCCTCTACTTTTTTTTTCCAGATTGATCAGTGAAACGTGTATTAGCCCTGCCATAGGAAGATACAGACATGAATTGTGGAGGAAAAGGAGTTTGCAGTGTCTGAAATGAAGGTGATTTAAATGTTGAACTCCTACTCTGAAAAAAAAGAAATCTGAAAAGAATTTCTTGGTTTAGAAATAAAAATTGATGCTTTGGGCCTTTCAGCAGAAGGAAGATTTAGAAAGTGTATAAGCTCCAATTTGCTGTGACCTATAAGAAAGTCTTCCCAGTGTCACTGGGAAAGCCTGACCTCTCCAAAATGCAGAGCATGGGGAAAAAAAAGCCTGTCCTTCAAACTTATACCTCTGCTCCATTCAAAGCTCATCACAACCAACATGCTTCTACATTTGTTTTGACACATCACCCAATTTCATAAACACTTGTTTTTATTCAAGAAATGGTCTTGTCAAGAGGCTCAGGTACTTCAGTGTTTAACCTCAGTAGCATTAAAAGAATGCTGAGTGGTAGATAAGAAATGGGATAGGAAGAGAAACAAACATAAGGAAAGAAAAGGAAAGAATTAAGTCTTGGTTAGGGTTGGGTTTTTTTAGTTAAAGATCAATATCATTGTCATGGTCTTGGTTACTCAGTGGAAATAGCTTGAAGAAAGCACAGAATTGTAAATTAAAATGCTCAGCCACCAGTTACAAATGTGTTCTTCCTGACTGCAGGTTATTTTCATACCTAAAAATCTGCAAACACTATTTAGCTGGACTTTGCATCACCCTGTTCTTTTTGTTTTAGTTAGCAAAACAAAAAGAACACAGAATGAGCTAGCATAAAGAAACTAAAAGGATGAAATAATTAAAAAATAAATTTAACATGGTTTCCACCCAAACCCATTCTATGCTATCTGCTAAGTGTTTTTTCCTTATCTGTATGTTCTATATTTTATTATAAAATATAGTTATGAAGCCTAAAGCTTGAAAATCACAAAAGATCCATTTTGATCAAGTATTACCTGACATAAAAGAAGAAATTGGCTAGAAATCAATCAAATTATATTTTTCACAGAAATGTAATGGGTGAAAGCTAATCTTTCACACCTGATTTCTGAAGGTATATTGAACTCCAGTAGGATTCTGAAAAGCTCCATATTACCTTTGTAGAGCTTACATACCTATGTCCCTGTGTGAGTTTCAAGAAAGCCATACAATTTTTCCAGGATTGCCTAATGCTAGAGAATTTGAATTCAATTAATACTTCCTTTCTTATGCTAGAAGTTTCTTGAATGTTGACTTTCATCATCAAACTTTGATGCCTACTGTGGTGGTTTGTCCATTACTTTCATGTCAAAAGTTCTCTTGCAATCTACATTTAGATGAGTATGCTCCTGGACTTCACATAAAATCCACTAGAAAAGAATTAAATGCTAAATGCAGTCGGTAAATAATTGGGTAGTCAGCAGTAGTGCAGCCCCCCTTGACTGTAAGTTCTATATTTTGCTCTGCTGAAAGTGTACTAAGGTCACTTCTCTAATACACCAAGTCAGCAGGCCATGGGGCACATTGTTCATACCTTCAGCAGAAACCAATCTAGTGTGCAGATGGGCACTCAAGAGTCCCAGAGGAAAAAGGAACAAACAAGCAAGCAAACACAAAATTTGAGATCTTGGCTGAGGTTCAAGCTGAACACAAACTGTGCTTCCAAACCTCCAGACCCAACACTTTTGAGGCTGCATATATTTGACCATGAGGAATGACAACTAGAAGTTCTCAGAGGAAGGACTAGGACATAGGCACCAGATATGCCTATGTCCTAGCAGTACAGTTCAGTATCATTGAAGGGGATGTGACATGACAGCCAATAAAACAAAAGACACACAAACAAACAAAATCCCTAACAACAAAGAAGCAAAGAAACAAACAAACCCCCCAAATCCCTCCTTTCATTCTTTTTTTGCATTACTTTCCCCCCTCCATCTTGGAACAGGGCTAGGCAGAACAAATGCTGGGCCTATGGATGTCAGTATTGCCTAGTGGTTCTAGTAAACTCTCCATGGATGTTACTGGAGTCCAATTGACTACGTTACCCTCTGAAGGTGACTGAGTTCTCTATGCAGTCAAGGATGCAGACTAGAGCTGTCTATGAAGAACACAAAGTTATCTTCGTCACCCCATTACTTCTGTGACTGTGGCTGCTACGGAACCTCAGTTAGGGATCTAAATTGTGGAGGCAGAATTATGTCCCCTCCAGTAGTTTTCCATAGCTCAGCTACAAGACAAAGAAAAAGCTGTCATCATTTTGCTGATTTCTGAAACAAAGGGAGTACAGCTTCCATTTGCCTGATGGTACATACACACTCAAGCTGTAAAAAAACAAAACAAAACTCCAGTTATATCTTCTGCAGAGCCCTACTCTGTCTGGGCTTGGTCCAGTTTCCAACTGAGCAGAAGCAATTCAGTCACTCCAGAACAGCATCATCCACCCATGGTATGATTCAGCAGCAGCAACTGTGCTTTGTATTCATAGTTTTTCAAATGGGATTTAGCTTTCAAGTGCAAAGAAGCACTAATGTATATGCAATCAGACAAAAAAACAAATTCCAGAGAAATGTGATTGAGCATTATTGCTCTTATGGATATCACTCTACTTCAGAAGATTCAGGCAAAGTGCTTGATCAGAAGTTTGTTTTCAGACAAAAGGTTTCTTGAGCCTTTTGAATTTTGCATTTGGAAGCTTTGAAGTTGTCTCATGCTCCCATGCTGAGGCTGGCAGGGGATGGATGTGCATACTGGCTTTCTTGCCTGTGAATCTTCTTAAATGTTACATATGTTTAATGTTTTTAAAAAGCCACCAGAAAGCCTATTAGACACAATAGCTCAAGGCATAGCTATAGTATATATACTTCAATGTGGCATTACACATCAAAGGGCTGTGATAGAGTAGGACTTTGAAAACACTGATACTGGGCCAAGTAAAATACAGTTATAAGGTAAGACTGTGTTTCACTGTGACCTCAGAAGTCCTTGTTCAACAGGCAAAAGGAGAGTGCATGAAGTGATGTTTGTAAATGAAAGTCTGGGACATTCATCAGCATCCATGCGTTTTGTGATCTTTTGAAATGTTTTCTAGAGTTTGCAGAATTAGTTTCCATTTTGTTTCTGATGAAGTCATCTGTTCTGGCTATGCCAGTGGTGGATCTTAGAAAAAAGGCAACACCTTTCAGACATACATATTGATATTACAGTTCAGAAAAAGGCATCTGCACACAACTTCTTGAGGCTGTCATTCTACTATCTGTTGTGCTCCATTTCATTTTGGTGATGGCTAATCAATTTTGCGCATAAATCAGGGATCAAAGTCACAAGTGCACTGTGCAAGGTGCCACAGGTATGTCAATCATTAATTTGTATTCATTGATGTTAGCATCATGAATATGGTAAGGAGATACTGATTTCAGAGTTGGATTTTTTTGCCTGTTTAATGGCAACCAGTGTTTCCTAGCCCTCTCTGCCCACTGCCCTTTACTGTTTCCTTCCCCCTTTCTATGGATGTTTGCAGTGCAGTGTTTAAATTTGGATGAGGCAGCTGGCCCTCCACTGGGGAACAAGCTGCCTACAATCTAGCTATTCCGTATAATCCTCTGCCTCTTGGTTTTGTGGGGATTATTTGGCATAAGTAATAAGAAAGGTATTGGGAACCATTGCAGTGATTATACAGTGACCCTCAGTGAAGAGCAATACCAAACTGCTGAAATAAAAGCTCTTCTGCACAATATATTACATAGTGAGGTGGAAACTGTGATTGAAACAGTCTTTTCTGAGAAATTAGGAAAGGATAAAGATGAAATAACTCCTAATAATTTCAAAACCATTGAAAAACTGCTACAGAAACATATAGCTCTAAAGAACTGTTCATGCTTTAGAGAGACATGGAGAGAAATCACTGACAAATTACTGCACCCTTTGAAGTGCTGGGAGACTTGAACAGAGAGCGAATCTTCTGTCCTACATATAGTGTTAGCTGATGCAGATTCACTTTGAGATTTTTTCAAGTTTTGAAGGAGGAAAAAGCCCCACTTTCCTTCAGGCTATACAATAGAAAAAGTCTTTAAGGAGTATGCAGCTATCAGATCAAATCAGACCAGGCAGCAGTTTCAGATTCTGCCCCACATGTAGTGCAGCATGAGGCCTTTGGACCCTCAATTTCCTTAGCTCAAGTACGTACCCTAGCCATTTGTCACCATCTGTTATCAGAAGTCCATCCTGCCCTAAGGAATCTTTCTGATAACTATTAATTGTAACCATATGTTCCCATTAGAAGTTTGAATAAGTCAGCATTTTCTTTGCTTGTCATCAAAACTTTAGCACCCAGCTCTAGCTGCCAAATCTGTCAGAAGGGTTTGTAGAGACAACTAAAGAAGTGCATTGCTCATCCCCAATTGAACCTTTGCCTCAACACTGGTTGCAAACACTGAGAATCAGGCCAAAGCTGTTGTGACTCCTTCCTAAGCAAAGCAACCTTGACAGCCCCTGTGATGTGGTCAGGACTTGGGAGGAGGTAGAGGACAGCACATTTAAAGGCAGGGAAGCACAAGGCATGTGTAAAGGGACTGAGTGACCTCTTTGTCCAGGGATCTTTCACACACGTTTGTGGGTTCTTTAGAAAAGTTGAACTAAACCAGAGAGGCAGCAGAGTTTTTCTCTGCCAAATGACTACATAGGCAGACTTTTAGGTGATGGCTCAAGGAGAGCTGCCTGATAAGAGCTATGTTGAGAACAGGGGATGCCAGACTTAAAGAAGGCTGAGGGGAATGACAGCTGAAGATTAGGGAACTTTAAATGCACAGGAGATTTTATTTGCTAGTAAGGCATTTCTGCTTCTGCTTGGAACACTGACTCCAAATGGTAGGATTGTTTTTCTCATCAGCTCCTACTGGCATTATTTCTTCACCCATATTTGCTTAATTCCCATGGAAAGAAGAAAACCATGTTTTGCTCGTTCATTGGATTTGTTGTGTATGATCTAACATTAGACTTACATTAACTGAAATAATAAATAGTTATTGATTCTTTGCTGTCATTTCTGACCATTAATGGTAGCTGCTTTTCATTCCCATGTGTATTTGTAATAGCTACCCTTACGAAGGTCCCTGGTTATCGCTGTGCTTTCAGGGTGTAATTCCATCTGCTTCATTCATCTCTCAGACTTTAAAACTGTCACATCTCAATCACCTATTAAACCACATTAAACCTGTGCACTATCTGTGTCTGCAACCATAGAACTGGAGCTTTTCCTTCTGATTAAGCATCAGTAAGGGGCAACTTTGTCAAATGGAACTCCACTAATGAAATGTGTGATGTTTACATATGGAACAGAAGAAATGAGACCAAAGAAAAATACTATGGTATCTGAAATAATGAAAATGTTGGTATATGCAGGTCTGTAGTATATAACAACTTCTTTCTTTCAGATTATGTTTGATTTATCAGTACCAGCACTTCAGAGAAAGAACAATGCCTTGGTAAAGGGTTGAATGTCACCTACTTCAACAGAGGGCTTCTAGGCACCACAGCAATTAGCTTATCAGATAATCATAAAATAGGATCATGAGTACATCATTTCACATACACTTTTATAAGAAGCAATGTACCTGTTGCTAGAGGTCTAGCGTGAATTTTGTGTGTAAATACAGTGTCTGTCCTGTGATCAGTAACTAGAGTATCAAAGGTAGTTTCAAGCACAGATGGAGAAAATACATAAGAGGCAGTCTGGAAGGTAATGAAAAGCAGCAGTTACAACATGCCAACTGTCTGACTATCAGAATTTTGGCATTGCAATTGAGACAAGTTTTGGGAGAAACTTGCATATGGACAATGAAGTCACTTTACAGATAGAGTTTTCTGCCATGTATAGGGAGCAAACTAGAAGAAAAAACATGACACATTTCACAACATTCATTTTTTAGTAGCATGATCTCAATTTTGGAAAGATATTCAATACAACAGACAGCAAGGATTCAAAACACCATATGATTTGGGCTCCTAAGTCTAATTATGATGTCATAAATGGGGCAAAGGAACAATGAGGTTTTTCAGCAGGTTTAACAAAGAAATCATGGCAAAAAATGCAAATGATAAATGTGGGAAAGCAAACCCCGGTCATGAAAATGATTTTTTGGCAAGGTTGTAAATATTCAGACAGATGACTTCAGGGGAAATATGAAATGATAAATCATAAGTATCATAGAAGACCTACACTTGGTCCTTTTAAACTTAAATTTTTCCTTTGAGGAATTGAAAGAGCAAGCCTCAGGATTTCTGCTGACATCATGTAAGTTCATGATATAGACTGAAAAAACTAAACCGTAATGCTTTGAATATCTTCATATCTCCCTTTCCCACCTGTATAACAAAAAGAAAAAAAAAGCTGAAATTTTTTTTTGGTTACTAATAAGAAAATAAAAATGCAAATTAAAGAAATTATCAAGGACCTGGATTAATCTTTGACTCCTTGTAGAGAAAATAGAGAATGGATAGAATTATCCGTCTTCTAATATCTGGAAGGGACCTACAAGGATGCTGGAGAGGGACTCTTCATCATGTACTATAGCAATAGGACAAGGGGTTATGGGTTCAAACTTAAATTGGGGAAGTTCCGGTTAGATATAAGGAAGAAGTTCTTTACTGTGTGGGTGGTGAGGCACTGGAACAGGTTGCCCAAAGAAGTGGTAAATGCTCCATCCCTGGCAGTGTTCAAGGCCAGGTTGGACGGAGTCTTGGGTGACATGGTCTAGGGTGAGGTGTCCCTGCCTATGGCAGAGAGGTTGGAACTAGATGGGGGATGTTGGATCTAGATAATCTTAAAGTCCTTTCCAACCCAAACTATTCTATGATTCTATGATTTACAAGTCTAGAATAGTATATAGGTTTCATTTATATCTTGTCACACCATGAGCAGTAGCTTGTCACAGAAGAAAGTCCCTGGAGGAATCAAAAGAAGAGGGAAGAAGCATAAAGGGGGCCTACTTTGCACCAGGGATTCAGAAAAAAATTAAAGGTCCTCAGTAAACACAGGGATTTTAACAATATGCACAAGAGAACACTGGCACCAAACACCCAGCTATAAACTCTCTGAAGCTTTCTCAGATGCTGCCTACCTGTTAATTTTTCATGCCCCAGGTACAAAAGGGCATGTCTACACTTAGGTACATCTTGGCTGGTTCAACCACACTTCCCTGAACACAGGAATGTGGAGACAAGATGCACAGTGCCATCCAAACTTGTGATCTTGAGAAGCACCAGGTAACCCTAGAGGCACCTTGTGTGTTTCAGAGTTATGACTTGTTACATGTCCAGAAAAGCCCCAGTTTTGATGGGACTGCTCATCTCAACACCATGTTCATGACAAAACTTAATTACAATATAGAAAGCAGGCATTTCTCTAGTCCATAATCCTGGTAGGATTGGTCCCATAAGTGTTCCCAAATCATATCCCCACAGTAGGTCTGCATCCAGTGCAGCTACAGGTATGCTTTTTGATGCAAAGGGAAAGAGGATGACTCATGCCCCACCTGATCTCTGTCGTAACACACCAGTCTTACAAAATGCCTTGGAGCAGTTCCCACCCCATCCTGAGTGGTTTCCAGACCATCTTGGCCTCCTTCCAGGACAGCATTGATAACAGGAGGCTGTGTGCTCTTCTGGGCTGCTTCATCCTGCAGACAAGGATCCAAGGCACATCCAACCACACAAGAGATGGGCCAGCCTACCAGTTTGGGCACTTGCTTACTCTGCTCCAACAGATATATATACATCATTTATTTATTTATTGTATGTGTGTGTGACTACTTATTGTGAAATAGAGAAGCAGTGCTGGAAGCTGATGGCAGGATATTTATGTTTCTGTGTTCTACTCCTCAATGGCTGGACTGTGCAAAAGATTTCCAAGATCTGCATCTCTCATTTGTTCATCAATACCTGGCTCCTGCATCCCTCTCTCAGTTTGGTTCTGTAGAATAAATATCTCTATTTAAATAATAACCCATCCTTATAAATAAACATTGCAAAGGCAACTGTGGGTCAGCACAACTTTACTCCAAACTGAAGCTGTTGCTGTCAAGTGTAGAGCAAATACTTGACTGATGATATTTCCAATTAGTTGGTGAAATCAATCTTGATATCAATGAAGATTATGGTCTCTGCCATTTGATTGCAAAATAAGAAAATGAAATCTTCAAGGCACATTAAAATCTTTTTCAATTATTTTCACGTTAGTGCAGCAGTTGAAACTAAAGCAGGAGAATCACACATCAGATTTTATTTCTCAGAAGTATTTTTTGTGAGATCTTCCATTATGCCCTCTAGGATTGCTGCTTTGCAGATCAACGGCAGTGAGAAGACAGGATGCGACTTGTTAGCTGCATAATTTCCATTTAAAATTTAAAATAGTGTCGGTACTGACTAAGTTGTTCCTGGAATTTATATACATTTCCCAGCCCAACTGACAACAAACTTCAGCTCTGTTATGCTTCTATGATCTTTCCTTCATTAAAATGTGTAAATAAATGATGTGGTAAATTATCTCATGTCTAACTCTTGTCTTGTTATTAATCTAGAGGGAGATGAAGTTCTTAGAACAAGGCAGGAAAGACAGAGAATACAAGATAATTAACTTATCTTCAATTCCACTCACAACAGGGATTTTTTTAAATATATCCTTACTCTTTAAGATATGTTTTTCTAATTGCAGAGGAGAGATCTCTGTATGACAACAATATTTTTTTTTCTTGAAGTGGTAAGGAAAAACACTCTCTACTAAAGGTTCCCACAAATTGGAATTAATCCTGAAGAAATTCTCCAGAGGTATTACAGGAAGTAAAAGAGGTTTTTTTATTACATGGTTGTTTGTATTGTGAAGAAAAAGAAAAAAAAAATAGAAACCCTATATTGTTCAGTCATAAATAAATAAATAAATCATTCTTTATGCAGAAAATTGCTGTTGCCAATAGGCAAATGATATGGAGCACTCTTTGTCCCCAAAAGCTTATAATTCATGTTTATATATAATAGATGGGAAAGGGATAAGGAAAACGGAAGTATAATGGCTATAGGAAAAGGTTCCTGAGGGCCCTTTGGTTTATTTTGCATGTCAAGGTAATATGACAAATAAACATACATCTGTGTGTACGTTGTATTAAAATATGTAATATGAAATCTTAGTTATGGTCCGATAAGCTGTGTCTAGATGTCACCTGTGTCAGCCTTGTTTGTGGGCATAGGACTCACAGTAAGAGGGGAGAAGCCATGAAATCGGGTCAATGAAAAGCTGATGGGAAAGAAGCAAAGGTTGATGGTGAAAAGGAGTGGGTATGAACAGGACCACATCCCAGCAGCTGGTCTCACAGGATAGGGAAGCCCCATCCATCCCGTGTATATGGAGGAAGACCTATAGGCTGCACTAGTAGATGTGTTACTTCCCAGATGATGATCCCCATTCCCGCTATTGCGGGGAAGGGGTTTCTACTCCTCACATTTCTCAAGAGCCCAAAGCCACTGAATACTGCCAGTGCAGTGGGGCAATAAACTGGGAATGCTGAGCTCACATTTCCTGGAGCAATACTTAAAGGTTCAGACAAAAAGAATAAATGCCTGCCGTGTCTATCAATCAAACACTAATTAAATAATACAATGAAATTAAGTGACATACAGACCACCTGGTACAAGCTTCTTTGGTGATAAGAGAATGGACAAAATATTCCTTTTGGCAGACCAAATGGAAAAGTGAAAACTAAATCCCAACATCTTGCTTCCATAGTTGCACAAGCTTGGTGTCTTCCATGAGGAATCCTTTTGCTTTGTTATGAAAGAGAGCTTGTGAGAGCTGGGAAGCCAAACATCTTTTCAGAAAAACACTCCTATATCAATGAAAAAGAATGGTTATGCACACATCCCCCCAAACATAAACCCTCCTGGCCATGTTGCCTACAAGAGCAGGCATCTGCCTTTGCATTTGAAAATGGCCAAATCATGCCAGTTGGCATTTTAGTTGGCAAAATATGCACAAGTAAGTCACAGACTCTGAACGGTTATTAGCCCATTGAAAATGTAACGAAAAATGTGTGCACATGGGTGGCTTAAAGATATTTAAATATGATGATTAAATATAGAATGCCTGTAGTTCAAGAGGCTGTCTCAGTGGACAAATTAACCTTGTAAAAATTCCAGAGCTACCAGGCTGCTTTGCAGCTGTAAGAGAGAACAGGATGCTGGTTTCACAGGCAACTGAGGACTGTACAGCCAACTGAGTAGCAGCCTAATGTGAGCAGAGGGATGGTGCAAACAGAAAAGATGTTTTAGCCTTTTGGTGCCCAGCATGGAAATAAGCGACAAATGCCACTTATGTTGGGTCAAGAAGGAGACCCCGAAGCCCTTGTCTTCCTACAATAAAGTCAGAGCCTCCAACAGGGGCTTAAGAATGGGATCTGCGCCTGGTCACTGGGAGCAAAGGGAGGGGATGGGCCTTTCCTCTAGACATCAGTGGTCCCCTGCCAACATGAGGTGGACATCTGTGGGAAACTGCAAATTTGCAACCTCCCCTGTAATCCGT